TTAAAATGTTTATCTCGCTACTAAAGCTATTGCAACTATTTTGTTACCGATTCTCAGGAATTATTCAAAATGATCGACACGTCCTAAGATTGGCCGGCATTTGGATCTGAGCTTAGTGAGTTCACAACTCTTTGGGGGAATTTTCCTGGTGCCAAAGTGATCTATGAGACCAGATCCAGTAATACCAAAGCGGATTTTTTTGAAAGACAAGCTCGAACAAGGAAGCGTGTTTTCTCTTATGTCAGTACGTTCACTCCTTACTGGATAGACATTACCAACTCTCCATTTGAGAATTCATACTAAGATTTATCTTTGTATCTTTTCGTGATAAAAATAAATAAAATTAATATAGAACTGTTTATATAGTCAACGAGATAAACAGAAAGTTGGTAAATGTTTGGTTTAAATTTGACAATGTGAAACAAGCCTAAACATCGACCCTTTTTCCATGACAGTAATTAAGGATCAAAAGTAGTATTTAATTAACTATATAATCAAGATCTTCTGTGAGAGTGCCTAGTTAATAAGGGATTACAATCAACGTTTTCTCCAACCATAGGAAACTTCGTTTTATGTTTCATTTAATTTGTCGCGATCCATCTCATTCCTCTGTAAACAACAAAGATTCTATTACATGTAAGATTTTTCAAGATGCCCACTTAAATAATATGGCCTAATATATAATACCAACTTTATGGTTACACCTTCTAATATAATCCATTTTCTAGTTTATGTGTTCCTTACGCTATTGAATAAATGTTTAGAAACCTCGAGAGAAGTTCGTTTAAAAATGAATTAATTGAATAAAGCCAAATGATCTTACAATGTAAATTACATTGCAAATATTGTATAACATGATCTAATGAAAATTACTTTGAAAATCTCTACCATTTCTCCCTATTCTCATATGCATCACACATACTAAGATTCTAATCACTTTCACAAATATTGTTGTAATCAAACTGAAAGATTAAACACTACTCTGCAAAGTTTTAGTTTTTAGTAATACACAATACCTTTCATAATTAAGTTATATTTGTGTACACATATCTAAAAGCAGAAACTGAGACAATATATACTTAAATACACTAGTTCCACGAATTTACATTTAACGAAACTAAATTTTTTTAAACAAATAAAAAGATAAAATTTATGATATTTTTTCATTTGGTCATCTTAATCAAAGTCAAAAATCAATCTTTTGTGAATGTATTTTTTATTTATGTAAATGATTATAGTTTAGCGAAATCAATTTAAGTTTCATTTAAGTAAATCCCAAATCATGCTTACAAATCCGAAATAGTTTCGGTTAGGAGAATTAGAACAATCGTCTTTTGAATTCAAATGGAGGAAGAAGAAGAGAAAAAGTAGGCTTTGATCAACTATGAAAAATGAAGCAGGTAAAGACTTCTTTGAATGTGGTGGAAGCAATCACGTAATTGTAAATACAAGATTCCAAATTTGATGAAGATTGCAATGAGAACATGATTTAGCATAATTAAGTTAATTGATTCTTATATTCCTATGTATTATGCAATAAAAATAGTAATTAACCATTTTAATTTATTAATATGCGTTTAAGCAATATTCACTATAGGGTCTAACCTTTTTTACCAAGCTATATGTTTAACCTAATTAAATAGCGAAACATATACAGTATATGAGAAAAGAAGTATTTAATTTTGAAAATGTAAGGTTTTAATCTAATGTCAATAAGATCGACTGGGTTTAGATTATGAAATTATACTATAGTTTGTTTGTATGGTATATCTACAAAATAAATAAAAATACATCAACAAATATTTTCTACATCTAAACGGAATCGCTATATATATATATATAAATTATTTCCTTGAACATCATCCCCACCAATTCCTCTGCCAATGCCATATATATATATATACTAGGTGATTTTCTCGTGCTCATACACGAGCATAAATATTTATAAAATAAATATATTATAATAATTGATTGATATTTACTTTAAATTTTATATTAATTTATAATTTGTATGTATAATTTATATTGATAATATTATATTATTTTAGTTATATATAATTTAAGATATATTAGATTTAGTCAGTTTTATCATTTGGATATATATATATATATATATATATATATATATATATATTGGATTCTATCTATTTCTCTGAATTCAACTATAATTGATTGATATTTACTTCAAATTTAAAATTAATTTATAGTTTGTAGGTATAATTTATATTAATTATATTATATTAATTTAATTATATATAATTTTAGATATGTTATATTTCGCCAGTTTTATTGTTTTATGGTTGATTTAGTTATCATTGAGATGTCTTAGATTCTATCTACTTCTCCGAATTCAACTATAATATTTTTTATTCTAAATATATTAAATTTCTGATTAATTGTCTTATTTGCATTTTTGTCGGTTGATATCTTAGAAATATAAGTATATCATGATTCTAAATTACATACTTAAGTAACTAATATATTTTTTGCAAGCTTATGAACACATATCAATATTTACAATGTTTAGACTGATTAGATGATAAACTGAAATCTATTTTAAATAAATTTAAAAATAAGGATTTTGATTTGCTTGAATATTTTGATTATGCTTATATTAAGTTTCACAAACATAAAAACAGAAAATGAAAAATCAAAAGAGTTATTAAGAAAACATATAATTTTAATTATTAAAATAAAATATATCTACTTCGATAAATTATATAATGTTATGATATTTTAAGATAATTGTAGTTATTTGATCAAAAAATGTTTATTATTAAATTCATTTTTAGTTTTGTTTATAATATCTCTTAAAATATGCAGTGAAAATGGTAATTTTTTTGAGAAATTATATTATATAAGTAAATATAATTTATATTTTTTGCTGTAATTGTAAGATATTATAGTAAAAAATATACTAAAATAAAAAATATATATATTTCAAGAATACTGATTCTAATTTTTTTTTGTCAATTAAACGTATATCAGTTTATGTTACTTAATTATTTTATGTAATCATCTAATAAAATAGATATATACAAAAACAAATACTTTGAAAATCTATATATTTATTGTTTAAAATTATTATTTTTATATAAAAAATATCTCTTTTTCTAATATAAAGATTAGTTGTGTGAATTTTTTTTTATGGAATCACATTATATACAAATATTGTTTTCATCTAAGAATATATGGTTATAAAGTATTTTATTACTTCAAAATTATATTTTATGTTATTTAAAATATATTTAATTAAATATTACTATTTTGTGAACTTTCCATTTTTGTGAAACCATATTTATATATACTTATATTTTCGTTTTTAAATAGTTTTGTAAACTTTATACATGTTTCATTTTTATTTTATATTGTTATTTGGAAAAAAATTAAAAGGAAATAGTAATATTTAAATTTATTTTTTAATTCATTAGGGGTATCATAGTAATCAACCAACGTGAAAGTTAATGTGAGTGCGACACATAAGAAAGTGACTTCTCAAATAATATTATAGAGATAATTTTTTTGTCAATTATACATATATCAGTTTATGTTACTTAATTATTTTATGTAATCATCTAATAAAATAGATAGATATATAAAAAATTACTTTGAAAATATATATTTTATTTTTTAAATTATTTTTTTAAAGAAAAAATATTTATTTTTCTAATATCAAGATTATGTGTATGAACTTTTTTATGAAAACACATTATATACAAATAATTTTTTATCTAAGAAGCTATAGATATAAAGTATTTTATTACTTAAAAATATAATTTATGTTATTTAAAAATATATTTAAGTTAAATATTACTAATTTGTAAACTTTCTTTCTTATGAAACTATATTATATTATATATATATATATATATATATATATATATTTTTTTTCGGTTTAAATAGTTTTGTAAATTTTATAAATATTTCCTTTTTATTTTATATTGTCATTTGGAAGATTTTTAAAAGGAAATAATAATATTCAAATATATTTTTAATTCATTAGGGGTATCATAGTAATCAACCATCGTGAGAGTTAACGTGAGCGCGACACCTAAGAAACTGACTTCTCAAATAATATTATATAATTTTTTTGTCAGTTATACATATATCAGTTTATGTTACTTAATTATTTTATGTAATCATCTAATAAAATAGATAGATATATAAAAAAAATTACTTTGAAAATATATATTTTATTGTTTAAATTATTTTTTTTAAAGAAAAAATATTTCTTTTTCTAATATCAAGATTATTTGTATGAACTTTTTTATGAAAACACATTATATACAAATAATTTTTTATCTAAGAAGATATAGATATAAATTATTTTATTACTTAAAAATATTATTTATGTTATTTAAAAATATATTTAAGTTAAATATTACTATTTTGTAAACTTTCTTTTTTTATGAAAATATATTATATATATATATATATATATTTTCGTTTTAAATAGTTTTGTAAATTTTATAAATATTTCCATTTATTTTATATTGTCATTTGGAAGATTTTTAAAAGAAAATAATAATATTCAAATATATTTTTAATTCATTAGGGGTATCATAGTAATCAACCATCGTGAGAGTTAACGTGAGCACGACACCTAAGAAACTGATTTCTCAAATAATCTTGGTTATTATCATTACCTAGTCTTGATTTACTTATCTTTTTGAGAAAACCTAATCTTGATTTTGTTATAAATATATTGGTTATTTAACTTATTTGTTGAATGACTCATATATTGTAGACTACTAGACTTGTCACAAACTATGAAAAAAATAATCTTTCAAAAAACTTGTGACGAATGCATACAACTTTAGTTTTGTCATGGCTCCTTTCCACAGATGCATATATACATACAAATTAGCTAGATCGTAGATAGCTACGAAAGAAAGAACATATATAAAATCTTCAACCTAGCTACGAAGAAAAAAAAAAAAAAAAAAAAAAAGCATAAAACCTTCAATACTCTTTTTTAAAACTAAGGCTTTTAAGAAAAAATGGGGAGATCACCGTGTTGCGATCAAGACAGAGGCGTGAAGAAAGGACCATGGATACCCGAAGAGGATGACAAGCTCACCGGTTATATAAATAAAAACGGTTATGGGAGCTGGCGGTCGCTTCCAAAGCTCGCTGGACTTAACCGTTGCGGTAAGAGCTGTCGTCTCAGGTGGATGAATTATCTCCGGCCTGATATCCGGCGAGGCGAGTTCTCCGACGAAGAAGAGAGTACTATCGTTAGACTCCATGCCCTTCTTGGCAACAAGTAAGACCTTTTTGTTATTTTTTTTTTTTTGGTTTTTTTGTTTTAATGATTAAAATCTTCTCTTAAGAAACTCTTCAGCATCGATTATAATGATTTACGTCTTAAATTTTTCAGATGACGTTTATCTGTTTCTGTTTGCATGTTTTCATAATTTTTGTAATATAAAACATCAGATTTTTCATAAAATATTTATGTGAAATGCAAATCAAACTTTTTAACGTTTGGAGTTTGCGCTTACAAATAATAAATAATTATTGATTAAAATGCTTATAATGCGAGCCATTGTGTATTTGTTTTGCTATTATAGGGATTCGTTACAAGTATAGCAGTCTTCAGTCTAAGAACTGTAACCATAAAAACTGTTAAATCTTTGGTTTTGTTGTAACCATGAATTGACATATTTATTCTACAGATGGTCGAAGATTGCCAGCCATCTTCCAGGAAGAACCGATAACGAAATAAAAAACTATTGGAACACTCATATGAGGAAGAAGATGTTGCAAATGGGAATCGATCCAGCCACGCACGAGCCAAGAACAAATGATCTTAGCAATATCCTCGACGTTTCTCAAATGCTAGCGGCATCTTTTAGTAATGGCCAATTTGGTAACAGTAACCTCTTCAACAACAACACTGTTTTGGAAGATTTTCTCAAACTCCAATTGATCCATAAAATGCTTCAAATCATAACCCCCAAAGCCTTACCAAATATCAATAGCTTCAGTACCAACTCATTGATTCCTAAACCAGGGCCGGTAGTCAATGATTTCAATACAAATCCAGTGAACCCTAAACCGGAGCCGGGAGGTGGACAACTGAATGCTACTGATCCACAGGTTTTCATAAACCAAAGTGAAAATGAAGGTTTCATGCCATCTTTTGGAGATGATTGGGATGAATTTGAAGATAACCAGCTTCCTGGTTTAGTTACGGTTTCTCAGGAGAACTTGAAATCAGCTAAACCGGGTATCACCACTGAGGTAAATTATCTAAGCGGAACTGGTATGATGCCAGGCTATTATGGTGACCAATTACGTGTAATCCCATCTACTGGTTCGATATCGGTTTCTCCTGAAACATCCGGCTTGAACTATCCCAGTATGACTCAAGACTCATCCGCTTCAGATGTCCTAGAGGACTTGGAGAAGTTCCTTGATGATGAAACTAGTGACTCTTGCTGGAAAAGTTTCTTAGAGTAAGTTTTTTTCCCATAAATATATGCTGTTAATTACTATTTTATATATGGTAACATATAGTATACTTTCTCAAGTTAAAATATCTAATAACAGAGTATTGCAATCTATTATGCAGCTTAACGTCACCCACATCGTCACCCGGCCCGTGGTAGTACTGGATATTGTTTAAGCCGTATACTTCACTCATAATTTTAAAGAAAATTCATACACTAAAACGTCTAGTTACTATTATAAAAATTTGCAAAATTATTGATTTATATGTTTGTATTCCTTTTCTTGGTAGGGAATGTCTGTATTGTATTTCTTCTCTTTGGTTTGTTTGTTGTGTAAAGAAGCACAGCACATTTCTATATTTAATCAAATTTCGCAGTAATATATACTGATTGAGGAACAACACAGAACAAAGAAAACTTTTAATTGGTAGTTGGTCAAATGTTATGCCATTATAAATAACCAAGAATAACGATTTCGATCAAAAGAAAACTTTTTTTATTGAGAAATTTGCCAAAAGGGGACAAAAAAACACAACTATTGTCCTCTTAGAATAAAATCAAATTTTGGCACTTTTGGACCTTCACTACCCTTTTTGTATATAAAAATTCATAGTAAAAAAATTACAAGGTAAAAAATTGAGGATATGAAATAGAGTAGCATGTGAATATATGAAAAATATTTTTACATTCAAAAAATATTTGGAATAGTAATCTCAAAAATTGGATAAATCGGGTAGTAAATCAGATCTACCATCTACGGCGGTTCAGAATGTACAATCTACCAACAACTCATCCATCTAAAGGGCTTAGAATGCGTAATACACCAAAAACATATACATCTACGAATGAAGAATATGATAACTGACATTCCTTCTTTGTTATGCAGTTTCAGTAGAACATAGCATATACTAAAGACCCATCCGTCTACCTTGGCATAACATATCTTCTTAGTTTTAATGTTTTATCTACGCTCGTGGGCTTAGTTTTAATGTATCTTCTACCAACGGTTTATGAGCCACCATCCGAAAATCTAGCAAAATCTGAAAGTAAATATTCTCTAAATATTTTTATTTTCTTTTTTAATATAGTTTGCCTTGAACGTGGGTCTTCTTCTTCTTCTCACCGTGAAAAAACCTCTTCTAATCTTCTAGTTCTTCCACTTCCACGCTATCTAACAATGAAGATGCACATATATACTTCATGTGGTTCGTGGAACTCGTCTGTAAGCAATGGATGGCGATTTGTTGTTGATGAAGGAAAAGGAGGTAGGTTACAAACTGTGGACACAAGTTCATCTTTTGAACACCTGAAGTTGATCGTGTGTGAAGACTTTGGAATTGATCTAGACATGGTCAATATCGAGTTGAGTTACTTACCTTCAGATTTGATGANTGGAACTCGTCTGTAAGCAATGGATGGCGATTTGTTGTTGATGAAGGAAAAGGAGGTAGGTTACAAACTGTGGACACAAGTTCATCTTTTGAACACCTGAAGTTGATCGTGTGTGAAGACTTTGGAATTGATCTAGACATGGTCAATATCGAGTTGAGTTACTTACCTTCAGATTTGATGAATAGCATCAACTCGCCACTTGTTTTCATCACCAATGATAGGCAACTCAAAAACTTTCTAACATATCTGAAGATCAGAGCTTCTACGCGGTTATGTGTGTGTGTTCGATCTAAGGTGGATAAAAGGAATATCAACGTCGAATTTGACTTGAATGAAGAATGGACTACTGAGTCGCCTAAGAGAGAGGAAGAGCGTGTGGTGCACGTTATTGATGATCAAACCATGGTTGAAGAAGAAGATGATAACCTAGAGGAAAAGGATGACCAAGACATGATCAATGGAAAGCCTGTCCGATTTTCTTTGGTTGGTGTTGTGAAGAAGGGTCAGCATTTTACAAGCAAATTGGCTTTGAAGGCGACACTAGAAATCTGCGCAATGAAACACAATTTCGACTATAAGTTTGTCAAATCAGATACAAAAGTTTGGTATATTCGTTGTGCAGATGATGATTGCACATGGCGTATTCGTGCAGAAGGATTAATAGGGTCTTCATATTTTATTATCAGAAAGTATGTACCTTATCATACATGTGTGCCATCATCAAGGAGCAATTCTGTCCGCACAGCTTCAGCAAAAACTGTTGGTTCCCTCGTAATGCACAAGTATGAAAGCAGTAAGGAAGGTCCGAAACCTAATGACATCATCAGCTATATGCGTGATGAGCTTGGAGTTGAGATATCATATTCTTTAGCATGGGATGCCCGTGAGTACGCAATAGACATAGTGAGAGGTATTCCTGAGCAAGCTTACGCTAAAATTCCCAAATACTTGCACATGATGAAGGAAGCTAATCCAGGAACACACACGGCTTATGAAATCGATACCAATGGGAGATTTAAATTCCTCTTCATCTCATTTGGCCAGTCACTTCATGGTTTTCATGCTGCCATTCGGAAAGTTATTGTTTTGGATGAACTTTTTTGAAAAGAAAATACAAAGGAGTATTATTGGCTGCTACTGCTTTGGATGGAAACTCAAAACTATATCCTATTGCATATGGAGTTGTCGACTCCGAGAATCACCGCTCATGGGACTGGTTTATGAGACAGCTTAAATTTGTCGTTGCTGATGATCACAGTTTAGCTTTTGTCTCTGATAGGAACATTTCAATTGGCAAAGCTCTTGTGGACGTGTATCCGCAATCTCATCATGGAATTTGCATTCACCACTTGATCAACAATGTAGTAACAAGTTACAAGGGAAAAGGCGTCGCTGGCTTGGTTGCAAAGGCTTCTAAAGCCTATCGAGTTGCTGATTTTCAGAAGATTTTCAGTGCTATTTGGTCCAGTGATCCTCTAATAGGCAACTACCTAATAGAAGCAGATGTGACAAAGTGGGCTCGTTGTGCTTTTACGGGTTACAGGTATGATATTAGGACCACTAACCCTGCTGAATCCATAAATGCTGCTCTCCGTTCGCCAAGAGAGTTTCCGGTTATACCTTTGTTAGGCAGCATAAGGGAGATGATGAGTCGATGGTTTTTCAGCGTAGAACTTTAAGGGCTAAGCATCTGCAGCCAGACCATTGCTGTGGAGAAGAAGATTGACCGGAGGATTGAGAAGGGTAAGAAATTTAGAGTGTATCCAATTACTGACCATAGCTTTTTGGTTCAAGGTGACACTTTTGATTGCATGGTTGACTTGGTCACACGCTCATGTAGTTGTGGGAAGTTCGATTTGATGAAAATCCCATGCAGGCACGCTAGAAAAGCAGGTTTCAGTGTAGGGATACAACCACACACACTCACTGACGACGTGTACACCACTGCCTCATGGAACTCGGTCTATGAAGAAAGTATCAATCCTATTAGTGTTCTAGAAGATGCATGGAGTGTCCCATCTGACATCGCCCTGTCAACAATCCTTCCTCCATCAACTAGACAAGCTGCAGGTAGGAGAAGAAAACACAGATACGTGACGGCTGAAGATAAGATCCGTTCTTCACAAGGAACCCAAGGCTCTAAACGTCGTAAATGCAGTCGATGTGGCATTGAAGGTCACAACAGGACAAGATGCATTAGAGCAATATAGGAATGCGGTCCTTTCATGTTTTTCTTTCATGTTGAACTCTCTTCTTTCATTTAAACCTCTGTTTTTAATGCTTTTTAGGCATAAACCTCTATTTTTTGTTTTTCTGCAAGTTATCTTTCATATTCATGATCCGTTTCATGTTGATTTTAGCAGTGTTTTTGATTTATATTGAATTTAGATGTCTTTTGAACATGTCAATAACACTAGAAATCCATTACTTGTTCTCAATGTAGATACAAATAGAAAAACATTACAAAATTTCAATCAAATTTTGAACAGAGACATAAAATACTGAGAATGGATCCTACACAACCGACATCTCGAGAGGTTTTATGGTTCATAACTTCTTCTTCCACCATCTTCAACGAAACACGCAGATCTTCAATTTCTCCTGCCATGAACGCTTGATGGTCATCCATCTTTTGAATCTCTTCATACAGAGCCTCATTCACCCACTTAAAAAGATGTTGCTCTTTTTTTCTCTGATTCGGAACAGAAAAAAAATTAACTCTCAACACAGAAGAATTGATAAGTATTTATATATGACATGTACCTGTAAAGCAATCTCACATCTGAAGAACCGTCTGTATGGATTCTCATCTGTTTTTGAAACGTAAGTGACAATCCCCCTCCCACACCAGCATCTGCGCGGGATTCCTTCAATGTTGTTCATGTTCGCCATATTTTTCGAAAAGAAGAAAGAAAGACGATGAGGAAAAGTGGCCAAATTAGGGTAGATGATATACGTAACTAACTCTCAAATTAGGATAGAAGAGGGGAAGTATAAATATTTTTTCCATCCACATAAAGCAATGGTTCGCTTTAGGTTAGTGGAATACAATATGCAAAAATATCTACTAGGTAATGGGTTCGAATCCCAAGAATAACAACATTTTTAAATTTTTCTTTATTCAGAAGTTGCATACTCAGACGCTCGAACCCAGGTTTACAGATCGTAGAGTATGTGATACTCGTCCACTAAGCTAGATTAACACATTGAAATGCTTATTGAAAGAATAAAATATATTTAAACGAATTTTGTAGTATATGACCTAAGCAATGGCAATGTCAATGGCAATAGGAACAAAATATATTTAAACGAATATTTGACCATGGACGACCAAGAGACACTGGAGTTTATGAACTAAGCAATGGCAATGTCAATGTCAATGGCAATAATAACTTAAACATAGAAGAAGAGCAATGGCAATGTCATTACAATACACACAAACATACGAACATAGGAACTAAAACATAGAAGAAGAGCAATGGCAATGTCATTACAATACAAGATAAGTCATAACATAGCATTAGAAGAAAACAAAGGGACAACACACAACGAACATGCAAACAAAACACCACCAAACTACACATTCTTTCTGGTCGAATATTGCCTCAGTATTTCCAT